CCTGAGTCAGCCCAGTGCGAGGCCGGCTTCCACAGAGGGCCTAAGGAAGCAGGAATGGGCGGCTCCCGTGGGGGAGGCTGAGTCGCTGCCTTCTCCGTGTCTCGCCCCTGCTGCGGCCCAGGTGGGTTTTCTTGCACGAGAAGGCGTATCAAGTGCGGGACACGGCCATCGAGTCCTCGGTGGTGACCAAGGTGAAGGGCTTCGGACGCTATGCCAACCGGGTCATGGATGTGTCTGACTACGTCACCCCACCTCAGGTAGGGTGTCTCCAGAGTCCACCCCGCAGGGGCTGTGGAGGGTAGGCTGCAGTCTCTCAGCCTTTCACCACCAGGGCCACCGTCAGACTGGGTGGCCTCTGTCCTGTGTCCACCCAGCAGCCAGGCTGCCTCAGCCTTCACTGTGTGTGGAGGGCAGGCGAGAGTGTCGCTCTCCCAGGGGACTTTGTCTCCTTTCTCTTTCCCAAGGGGACCTCTGTCTTTGTCATCATCACCAAGATGATCGTCACGGAGAACCAGATGCAGGGCTTCTGCCCAGAGGTGCGACAGGGCCGGCGCTGGTGGGCGGGAGCGCGGGGTCCTACCTGCCTCTGTCCTGAGGCCGTGGCTGTGGAAAGCAACGTGCTGAGGGTCCGCATCTGGTGTCGCCCCACAGAGCGAGGAGAAGTTCCGCTGTGTGAATGACAGCCAGTGCTCGCGGGGGCGCTTCGCAGGCGGGGGTGAGTGCAGCTCCAAGACGGGTCCCCTAGGGTAGCCGCCCTTGGGGCCCAGGCCCCTGCTCTATGCAGCTCTACCCTACAGAGGAGCCAGGCCCAGAAGCTTTTGAGGTGACCTAGCCCTCCCCCCAGTGCAGTTCAGTGTGGGGCGGTGGCAGGTGCCACAGGGGAGGAACAGGGCCTCCTGGAGGGGTGACATTCCGGAGGGCCCTGGACTCCGGCAGTTGGCAGACAGAGGGCACCAGCCACTCGTCCCTGTGTCCCCTCCAGGCATCCTCACTGGCCGCTGCGTGAACTACAGCTCTGCACTGCACTCCTGTGAGGTCCAGGGCTGGTGTCCAACAGAGGTGGACACAGTGGAGAGGTGCGGCCCCCGTCCCATTCCCCAAGTGTCTGAGGCCCTCACACAGCCTCTCCCGCTTCCCTGCCCATCCCCTAGGCCCCCATCCCCATCTCCCCACTCTCTGAGCCTCCTGTCATGCAGGCCCATCATGACAGAGGCCGAGAACTTCACCATCTTCATCAAGAACAGCATCCGCTTCCCGCTCTTCAACTTCGAGAAGTGAGTCCTGGCCCCCTGCTTGCCCCACGTGTGCCCAGTTTCTTGGACTCATGCAATCAGCAGCAGCCAGGTGGCTTGGCAGGATGCTTCCCCGCTGGGGAAAGCACACATGGATGGGAACCCTCTCTCGGGGGAAGGGGGCAGAGGGCAGGCCTCGGGGGTCCCAATGTCCCCTCCTGACTGCACAGAGCTGAGGCCTCCTGACGCCCAGAGGGGGCTACTTGTGTTTGGCCACCCCTGCCATGCTGACCCTGCTCCTCCTCCTCCCAGGGGAAACCTCCTGCCCAACCTGACCGAAAGCGACATGAAGACCTGCCGCTTCCACCCGGAGAGGGCCCCGTTCTGCCCCATCCTGCGCGTGGGGGACGTGGTCAGGTTTGCAGGCCAGGACTTCACCAAGCTGGCCAGCACGGTGAGCTCCAACAATGCCTCCACTTCCTGCCCTTCTGATATGGATCTGGGTCACACCTAGCCCCTTGCTTCCCGCAGGGTGGAGTCCTGGGCATCAAGATCGGGTGGGTGTGCGACTTGGACAAGGCGTGGGACCAGTGCATCCCCAAATACTCCTTCACACGGCTCGACGGCGTTTCGGAGAAGAGTAGCGTCTCCCCAGGCTATAACTTCAGGTAAATTCCAGCCATGGGCGGGAGGCACCCCTGGGGAGAGCAGAGCTGGATGCTCAGGCCTCCTGAATCAGGCTTCTGTCCCCCGTGCCTGCTCCAGCCCGGGTCCCTCCTGGACCTGCACCGGAATCAGAATCACACACTTTCTGGCTCCCCAAGGTGAGGGCTGTGGCTGGGATCATCTTACCAGCGGTGGTTTCATGTTTCTGTCCAAAACCAGAAAATGTCATGAGTCACCAGTAACGATGACAGTGATCATTAGTTCATCTTCAATGCCTTTCCAAAGAGGAACGGAAACCAGTCTCTAAATATTATCCAGTTATCTTCCCGGTGACCTTGAGGCTTCAGGAATCTTTGTGTTTTTCCATTTGGAAGCAAAAGAGCCAGGAGAATGCAGGATCAACTATTGAGAATAGCGGAAGGCCCTGGACACATCTCAGCCACCATTCCTGGGTCCCCTTCTGTGCAAGGGTGACAGTATGGTCTCTGTCCTCTCCATGCAGTTTGAAAATCCAAGCTTTCAGGCAGGACCCTGACTAAGTATACCATTACCCAGGAAAGAGGCTAAATATGTTGATGGTAGCCAGGAAAAGTACTTAAGCCAGGAAAAGTACCTGTAAGAATATGTTTATGACATATTCAGAGAGTCTTAACTCAGATTTCCTGTTAGCTGGACATGGTGGCACATGCCTGTCACCCCAGCACTCAGGAGGCTGAGGCAGGAGGATCGCTGCAAGCTTGAGGCCAGCTGGGGCTGCATAGTGAACTTAAGGCCAGCCTGCACTACACAGCAAGACCCTGTCTCAAAAAACAGGCAAACTAAACAAATAAATTTCCTTTGTGGTAGTAATCTTCAGTACAATGTCACGCGTGTGCCAAAAACACAAAATCATGCCTTTCTTTAATTTATAAACTTTAAATTATAGGCACCTACTCCATTAAATTTTCTAATATATATAGATATATATACACACACACACACATATACATATATATATGTTATGTATGTTCTTTGGAAAGAAGAATTTTAAAAAATTGAAATTGCTTTCATAATCAACTCTAGAGTTTTAAAAACCATAGGAAACAACACATATTTTAAAGTAGGTTAAAAATACCGTTCGGCTCTCTGGCAGCAGTCGGCAGATTTCTTCAGTGAGTACATCTCGCTGAGATCAATACAAAGGATATTTGTATGGAAGCTTAGAATAGCAGCATATTAATCAATTCTCATAATCTGAAGCGGAAGCTCCCCCAGCCGTGGAAAATCGCCCCGTCCTCCGAGGCACTCTGTGGCGGGAATGCTTTTGGGGCCAGAACTCTTCCAGTGGCTACAGCCTTAGAGAGGCAGCTTCCACGGAAGGAAGGCCTGTGTGGCTGTCCTGTGGCCTAATCGCTTCTTACCACAGGGCATGATATGCAGAGTGCGGGGCTCTCCAAGGATGCATCAGTGTGGCTCCCAGGGCCACAGGAAGGGGCAGGGCCCCTCCACACCCCCAGGGCTGCCTCCCTTCGCCCAGGCCTGCCGACCAGCACACAAAGGGACTCAGCTGAGCAAGTGACTCAACAGTCAGGAGAGGAAGCTCGCGCATCAACCCAGGGAAGCAGGGATTGAGGGTGGGACTTCCTGCCCTGCTGAAAATCCCAGTCTGGCTTCCGAGGGGGGCGCGGGGGTGCTGAAGAACCAGCGGAGGCTGGAGGTCCAGCCCTGGCCCGGCCCTTCATGCCACAGACGTCCACGTCCCCTCCCCAGACTGCCCACCGTCCTGTGGGTCCTTGCCCGCCACTGTGGCAGAGTGCGATTTTGGAGCCAAGATTCAGCCCTGCTGGATCTGCACACTCAGGTAGCCAGGATGCCTGGCGGGAGGTCCTCACTGTCCTCACCAGTGGCTTCCGCAGCTCCCCTCGCATTCCTGTGCAGAATTAGACACTGAGACTCCTTGGTCCTTGCCCTGGGACACCTGGCCGGAAGCAGTCACTTCACAAGGTGACTTGCGTGGCCCCAGAGGTCACTGGGTCCCGACTTCTACGTCAGCCCCTCGGTGTCCTGACCCCAGCCCAGGGCCGCTTCTCATGGTGGCCACCCTTGAGCAGGCAGCGCCAGGCAGGGGCACAGTGACCTCACGGTCGCTGCAGTGTGTGTCCCCTCAGTGTCCAGCCGATGCACTCATCTCTGCACTTCAATTCACCTGTGATCCATGACCTCCTAAGGGTCCCCACCCTTTCCCTACCTGAAATACGATGGGGACATTTAACTTCTACGACTAGGCACATGGCTTACAATTCCAGGGAGCACTTTAACACACTACATTTGGGAGTTTGTTTTTGAAGCACGATCTCACATATAGCTCAGGCTGGCCTTGAACTCACTGTGTAGCCCTGGCTGGTTTCTAACTCGCAGAGATCCTCCTGCCTCAGCCTTCTGGGTGTTGGATGACAGGTGTGGGCCACTATGTCCCACTAACTTACCATTTTTCTGACCCGTCTTCCCAAGCACATAGAGACCACAGCTGGTGGGGTCATGGGATTTGTAGTGGACAGCGAGTTACCAGGGAAGCGGTACAAGTGATAGGGTCTGGGAGGCAGGAACAAAGCCTGCGGCTTAGACCAGCAACTAAGCAGTGCATGTCCATCTCCAGAGAGCAGGGATGAGGCAGGGCATGGGCATGACGCGTGCACACATAGCTGTACCAGACGAGTCGTGAGGCCGAGCCCCCATGTCAGTATTGGACGGGCGTGTGCAAGGGCAAAGGCAAAGGCAGACTCTTGCCCTCCCTTGCTCTTGGGGGAGGAGACGCCCTACTGAAATTGGGTAATTGGGGATTCTAACCCAGGGCTGCTTCCAGAGTGCAGGGTGCCCACAGGAAGAGAGACGGTGACCAGATCGGGTCGTGGGTTGCGGCACGGGTCTGCAGGGGTGCAGGCTGGAGGTAGTACGGCAAGGGGCTGGCACCGGGGGCCCTCAGGAGCCAGGCTGAGCCAGTAGTCACCGAGGCTACTAGGGCAGCGCATGCAGCCCAGAGCCTGGGGCCGTTGCGCACGCGCACACACACACACACACCCCAGCTTGCCTGACAGCAGCAGCATGGGCCATCGCCAAGGAAACCCACAGGTTTACAGCCCCAGCCCTACAGAGCCTAGCAGACAGAGTAAGGACAGGAAGTTCCTCCCCTATCACAGGAAGGCGCCGTGCTGGGCGGTGACTAGCTTCAGGAATTCCAGTGCCTCTGCCACACCAAGATTTACAAAGCACCCAGTTTCATGACCCTGAGAACTCTGTGAGTCCAGCAGGCCTTCAGATGAGGAGCACCCAGCGAAATCTGAAAATCTCCCTCGTTTTTGGTTTTTTTGAGACAGGGTCTCACTCTGTAATCTAAGCTGGCCTTGAACTCAATGTGGATCCCAGGCTGACCTTGAACTCGAAGAGATCCTCCTGCCTCAGCCTCCCAGGTGCTGGGATGACAGGTGTGCACCCCATGCCTGGCTTTGCAAGCCCAGCTATGACCAGATCTTCAGCCCCCCCAGGCGCCCCACTGTCAAGGTGGGCAGGAGGGCTGAGGGACACCTGAGATGTGTGGCCTAGCAGAGTGCTGCTGCTGCTGGCCACCTGCCCCCGCATGCGGGTCAGGGGAAAAAGGACTGCCGTGGCGGAAGCAGGACTCGCGCGCCGGGTGCTCCCCAAGAGTTTCTCTGCTGCTAAAAGGCTCCACAGCTTCGGATTTCCTCTCCTGGTGTCTGCGACAACGACGGAGGAACACTTGCTCAGCTGCTCGACGCCGGCTCGGTGGGTGTTGCTAGCGACTGTTCCGGGTTGGAATGAGCTGGTGGCAGCTTCCCCAGAGCGCTGAGATCTGGAACCGATTCCACTTCCACGCGGAATCCTTGGCAATCAGCGAGCCCCCACACTTCTCCTGCAGCCTGGCTGTTCTCCTTCCAGCAGCCACAGGCTGGGGGTCAAGGCAGAGTGGGGGTTGAGGGAACCCTCACAGAGTACCGCCAGGGATTGGCACCAAGGCCTCTGTGGCTTTGTGGCATGGGGCTTCCAGCTGGAAATCCAGGCCTCCAACTCGCTGACCCCCTTCGAAGCCCACACAGCTCGTGGTGTGGCAGCCAAGAATCGGACCCTGACCCCACATAGGCTGGTAGGACCCCCTCATTCCACAGAAGAGAAAACTGAGGCCAGGATCACGCCCCAGAGCAAGCAGCTAGGTACGTAGCTGCCAAGTGCAGCGTCTGGCCCCATGGACTGCTCTTTAATTAAGGACACATTAATATTAATACTTTTAGAAATCAACAACATGCCAGGCGTGGTGGCACACGCCTATAATCCCAGCACTTAGGAGGCTGAGGCAGGAGGATCACTGTGAGTTCAAGCCCAGCTTGAACTGTATAGCAAGACTGTTTCAAAAGCTAAGGAAACAAACAAGCAGAAATCAACAACACACAGCTTCTTCAGTGTCTACCTTCAAGCTTGACAAGGTTTCCAGGCTGCGTAAACAGCCCTGGCTCCCCTCTCTTGTCCCTTCTCCGGGGAGGAGTCCCTGCAGCTCCTGGGCTTTGGCCCCACCCCAGGCTCCAGTCTGCCAGGAGGTATTTTCCTATCAGTAGAAGTCAACTGTGAAAGTGTATCTCAGCTGGCAAAATACTTCCTCCAGGCAAAGCTCCACCGACAACCAGCCGTCAACCGCACCTCCTTCCTGCGGCAGAAACCCAAGCTCCAGGCCCAAGCCTGCCTTTCCAGTCAGACCCGCATCCCAGAGTGTGTTGCTGTTTTTCCTGCTGCTGTCATAGCTATTCGGCCCGCTCTAGGTAGGAGTTTCCACAGCTCCACAGGAGGACGGATCGTTTCTAAACAGATGTCCGCAAGCGTCCACAGGCCTGGTGTATTGGCATGGAAACCTCCACTCTGCAGACAGTCAGTGGCTGGGGATGGGGGCAGAGGGCGGCCCTGCTTGGGGAGGGCACAGTTTCCCAGGGCTGAGCCAGCACAGCGCCTGCGGGTCCCC